GAGGGATGTTCTTCGTAAGCATAAACAGGCCAACTTTGCAACAGGTGATAATTGAAAACTCGCTATTCAATGTGCTACTACGAAAGTAGCTTTCAAATGTTCTAGGTTTATGAATAACCCAAAAGCCTGTTTCTCTGTAGGGTGGCGCTGATACAACGTTGGGGTGGCGCTGATACAACGTTGGGGTGGCGCTCTTGTTAACGCTAGCTGGACAGCGAAAAAATTTTTAGACGGCTCTATATCCCAGCACAATGGCAATCTATTATACCCGCCGAACTTGCCTGACTATAAATCATACTTTTTCAGGATGTCTGGCCTAAGTGGTCCCGAGCTACACGGATACCACCGCGCACGAATTAGCCTGTCCTGATGTAATAAAGCTAGTAAAAAAAAAACGCTGCTAATTTTTGTTCATTTAACATACAAGGGACGGCCAAGTAAAGGACTTGACCGTCCTCCGTTCGAGCGTCAGAGAATCTAGCTTTAGCAACGCTCTCTTGGTACGCACGAAGTTCCCGAACGCTTCTCCCCGGCTGCTGAAGCTAAAAAATCCGAAAGCAACGTGGTCTCTTCGCCCGGAAAACGGTGCAAAGGAAGCTATTATTTTTTTTTATGGATCGGTTCCCGTTGCCTAGCGTTCGTATCACGTCAGCGTAACCTTCTTGAGGCATGTCCTGACTCTCTGCGCTTCTTAATCCTTAAGGCACTCTTCTTGGATTATCAGACGTTCTATCAGTTTTCGAAATTTTTTTTCTTACCGTCAATCCCGTTCGTTTCGGACAATTTCCATTGAACCGTACGATTTCGTTCATTTTACAGGGCAAACCTCGCCATTAGTCGGACATGGTTAGCTCTGTAAAATTCTGCCGTATGCCTTCAATATTCAAGAACCATTTATGGTAATATCAAATATATATATATATATATATATATACAATGTAGTTTAAAGTCGAACAATTTCTAGACTATTTGGCCCAGAATAATAATTTTTTTTGCGCTCTTGTCTTAGCGCTCCAACAGCTTCTGGAGAGCTTGTATTTCAAAAATTATTCTTAAATGAACTGTTTGTTCATATGGGTACGATTCATCCGCTACTCTTGACACCCAACAGAAGCCAATTTTTTCTGAGACAAAACAACCAATTCGTAATGGCGAACACCAGTGCATCGTTTGGGCGAAGGTCAGCCACCAACCATCCAACTTCTTCGCGCTGGAAGAACCCCCACCAGGATTGAAAACCTTTCTTTTTACCCAAAATAAATGGTTCAAGTTCTTATTAATTTTCACACTGCTTCTAAAAGATCTGAGGAGAGCTTTCCTGAGGAGTTAAAGGCAAACTGGAGGCAAAATACAGTTTTGATTCATCAGTATGGCTCAAAGGGCATTGTTGATATACCTTGGGTTTTGCTATAGAAATAATTATATATTATATAATAAAAGAAAAAAAAAAAAACAATCTTTATTACTATGTTCAGATAAGCTAAAAAAAAGTTAGTCTTCTAACCTTTTCGGGTGTTTTTGCACTTTTCAACTTTTTGACCATTTTGAACTTTTCGCCTCCTATCAGAGGCATTTGAACAAGCTCACTCCTATTAGTATTGCTCGACATCAAGGATATTAAATGCTGATCGAAGAAGGAATATTTTAAAAAGGGCTCGTTATCAATTCAGATTCCAAGTTAAAAATGTAATGGCAGTAAATGATGATTATATTGAATAAACTAACGATTGCTGGGAACGATACTCCTAACCCATTCAAAAACTTTTGTTAAAATATCTATTTTTGTTCAGAGACAAAAAAATCCCGATTTGAACGTGTCACTCCGTATATATCGGCAAAAAGAGTATTAACCGTTTTTCCATCTAGATTACTAAGTACTGTATCTCAGATAATAATCGGATTGCGTATCGGTCGCAGGACATCATTTGAAAGCTAAGATTTGATGGAATTCTTCTGTTCAGTCCTACGATAAGATACTTTGAAGGTGGGTGAAACTGCCGTAAAAGTTCTTACAATTCTACTATTGATCCTCTGACTTATAAAAGATCATGTTGCGTATGGTCAAAACCCATTATCGTCCAATTATGGGAAAAAGTTGATAGAAATTGAGCGATGCAGACATGTTGACTAGCCATCTGAGTAGAAGACATATTAACTATCAAACAGTTTTAAGCCATTTGAGGAAAGCTCGCTATAAGAAGAGCCCAATGTATGATACTCCGTGCATGAGCTACGTTAAACATTTCTACCCACCAAACTCTATAGACACTGAACAGAATTGAGCCATTTCTGAAACGGCTCATCAGGGAGCGATGAATAAAAAAATACCCATTCAAAATCTACGCAAAAGCTTAAATTGACGCGAAAGAGGTTCACGCTATGTGTTTGATGGAACTTCTAAGAAATCATGTATAACGCGAGTTGCTGACGTCTGGCAAAACGATCTATTCAGACTTCTGCTAGCAACGACGAACAGAAGATCGAACAGAGCAGAAAGTAGACAGAAAAGGCGTCATCTCTTGTTCCACCACATCTTAAACTACCCGGAAAATAATTAGAGAACTCTGATTTCATTGCGCAGTGCTTGCTCTATAGCCTGAATTTCGTATCACCAAACGATCATGTATGTCGGTTTTTGCAGAACTTTCCTAGTGGCGCTGTTTTAGTTTCAATGAAGACCAATCGTTTGTCACAGAAGCCGCAGTGGTAGATCATCGACCAAACTGGTGCCTGTTTAGCTTAGTAATTTTACTTTAAAATACTTTTTCGCTACGTGATTATATGTAGTTTTCAAAAGTTATCCAATACACGAACGATGAGGTGGAAAATGTGTAGCCTTGCCTCATCCCGTTCAAAGCTACCGTCAGTAATGGAATTAGGGTAGAGATGTTAAAAATGATAAAAAAAAAAAAAAAAAAAAAAAAAAAAACACTTCTTCGGCATCATGAGATTTGCCGAAAAAAATACAAAAGATTATTGATTTTTTTCTACACAAACGAATTCATGTTGAAAATCAAAAATCATAGGAAAAAAGAGGCAAAATTCAACGCTTTTATACAACGTATTTTGTGCTTCATTTTGCATCTTGTATTCTAGTAGTTTATAGCATATTTGTAAGTTTCGCTTGAGAAGGTCGGAATGTTTCTGGCTGACGTGACTTTGGAAGAGGCAGCTAAAAACGGCCGCAAGGAGAGAGTTCAATCACCCAGACGGCGGCAACCAAGCGTATATTGCATTGCTCGTGATCGGCATCGACTAACGTGGCTTAACGGTAGGGGCTCGTGTTGGTTTTTTCAGTTCATAGGCTGTAGTCTAGCTCATACGAGACGGACATGTGATCGTGCTGATTTACGTACGTATCACTAGAAAACAGCATAATCTTTTGCCCTCAACTGAGGTGTGCGCCAATTAACCCACAAGTTCGAAGTTTATTAGTTCCTATAGTAATATTGTCGTATCGTACTTGGATAGGAAAAAAAAATAGTACTGAAAGTATAGATTTTCCACTGTTTGACAGCCACGGATACTAGCGCTTAACTAAGCAATGACGAGAGCAACAATATCAATCAACTCGTTTGTTTTATTCATTGACTGGTGAAAATATATAGTGATGGAAAGGATCTCAATGATTCTATGGAATCGTCAGCTTATAGCAACGATCATTCGTACAAAAGTCGTGAAAGCTCCTGTAGCAACGATGCTACAATATCATCACCGTCGTAGAAAGTTGTCCTAATTGACTTTATCCAATATAAATCGTCTAACTAAAATAACAGCCTATTCATGTTCATTGTTCATCCAAGTCTCGTGTAGCGCTATTAAGGGTAGGTAAAACTCGGCGACCAACTGCGGTCGATATGGACGATGCCGTCTATGAAGAATGGAAGAGCAAAGGGAACATTTTGTTCCATTTGATTTGGGCACTATTATAGATCACGATGAATTCTGGATGGGTCACTAAGATTGAGAATGAGAAACAACTATAGAATAGACTAGAGGAGAACCCTTGGACAGGGGCGTTGTGTCTGTGTGTATAGGGGGTCGGAGAGATGGCCAGATAAATTCACTCAGCACCAATAAATAGTATGGGACGAATTACTGTCCCATAATAGATAACTGAAAGAACGCACTTCATCACTAGTCTATCTGTGTCTTGTTTGAAGGATAACATATCCACTTCTCGCATGTTTAGGGTAATTTCTAATCCCTATGCCAATGAGAAGCGGACAAAAACACCCCACTATCAAAGGTGTTTCTGACGGTAGCCAACTACCTTGCGAATGTATATTAGTGAAGTCAATGTTACGATATTAACAGATGACGCTATAAATGCAATTTAAAAGAATAGAGAAATGCCCCTATAAGCTATGCTGGAACCACGTGTACATGCGAAGGTGCATTTAGGACAGGATCAACTCAAGCAGTGACAAGTAAGCTGCTATTATTGTGGGGTGTTACCATTTTACCGAATCATTAAAAGTTGTCACCAACAAGAGTAAATGTGCACATAAGCTTAGAAGATTAGGATCAAACATCATAAAATTAAACATATTACTATTTTTATAATGGCGGTATTTACAGAAGATAACAATATATCGAGAAGATCTGTCGAATATTGAAAAATCTTCAAAACATCGAAAAAAAAAAAATTTAAAAAAAAAACAGAAATGAGAATCCGAACGGAACGAAAGCAGATGTCTAACTGTATCGTTCTACTTAACACCGATTAGAAAACTCATCGTTGAGGGACAAAGAGCTAAAGTGTTTTCGATAGAAACGGATGTACAGGTAGTCTTGATATGAGCATCAAGGTGGCCGACTAAACCGGTTTAGCAGTCAGCCAAAGCAAAGCTTATTCTTCGGCATCTCTTGAGGACCGTTCACTTACGTCGAAGCAGACTGCCAAAGGCCAAAGTAAGGTCCATGTAAAGATTTTGAGAAGAACCTAAAAAAACCTTGGCTCCTTCCTGGGGGGTTGGGGTTGGCGGGGGCGGGGCGGGGTGGGGGTGGGGGGCTAGTTCCATAATTGTCGTTGATGTTGTTGTGGTTCTATTTTCAACCCTGGTGTTGGCGCGCTGTCGCTTGAGCCTTCTGGACCTGTGATGCTTGTGCAACCTGGAAAATCGTTGTAACACATTTATAAGTAGAAAGCTTTATTCATTGAAAAATACAACAATAATAGCAACAATAATAGTACCTGGGCAGCAGCGGCCTGCGCTTGTGCAGCAGTCGCCTGTGCCTGCGCAGCTTGGTTTGCTTGTGTCTGAGCTTGTTGGGCCAAGTATGCCTGATACGCCTGATAGGGGTAGGCTTGCGAAACAGAAGTCACAGGCTGACGCTGAAAAATTGTAAAATAAAGTAGGTTTATATTCATCTCTTTATAAATGTCGGCATCACAAGGACATCATTCTACTTTGATTGGGCTGGTCGCTTGTTTTTTTAGACAGTTTTAGACAGGAGTCATACCGACAGTAGATAACGTTAAGCAGAAAAATGTGCCAATAAAATATCCGTCATATTTTTAAACCAGCGAACAAATACGAAATTTCTATTAAGAACGTTAACTTCATAACCGGGTCCCGCGGAGAGATGACCGGCCTACAACTGAAAATACCTTTATCAGGTACTATTGCCGTATGTGCGATATAAATTACTAGAACTAAAAATAGAAGCAGACAAAGCTCACTTATTATTAAACATTTCCTTCTCTAAATTTTATTAAAACAGTAAGACAATCTATACATATCTGCAAAAAGAACAAATTAAAAATTTTTGTGAAATACGTGGTGTCATACAATTGCCTACCGATGCAGACCATTTTATATACTAAACTATAAATATTGATTTGAAACATCGTAGATATGTTTCAAAATCAGTTATTACTATCTACTCGATTCCGCAAGTCATGAACCAATCCCACTTCTCTAAAAAAACTTTGGTTAGTAACTTTTACGGCACTGACGTTAACATTGTAGTTTGTGATAGGGGATTTATACAGCTGGACTTTTTTCTACATTTTTAGGTTGAATAAAATGCCACTGATACATCGTTCGGATACTGTTAGCACGCCCATTCAACCATGGTATCGTTTTCTAATAAATACCTAATAAATACCCATAACAATAGTTCTCTCGGCTGTACCAAACTGTGGTATCAAAATACTGTGTGACACTTTACTGTGCTTTTCCTTATCACAATCACTAACAGAGCAAATCTATCTTGGGTGAACCGAGACCTTAAGCCACTGAACATGTGTTGACAAAAGGCACCGCCAATCCGCTCTCAATTACTCTTTAGAACTTTGCCCCTAACAGATGCGCCTTTAGGTTACGTTCGATAAAACGTGCTCCGGGAGCTATTGTTCCGAGAATTAAATAATGGCTTTAAGAGACGGGTGGGGTACGTGTGCATTTGGATGACTTCCACATGACTATGACAAGATCTCAATGGCATTCCCTAGAAAATGCAGGTTGCATTTGGACAGCGGTTCTTGGAGCCTTCAAAGCAATAGTCTGTGTCTGTCTGTCTATCTGTCTATCTGTCGAGGTCGAAAACTACTGAACGAAGACACCATAGAGGAGATGAGTTCAGCAGACCAACAGCTTTACAATAGGCCGCTAAAAATAAAAACACCCAATTTATGTGTCATCGGAGAATTATGTAATGCGGCGTAAAATTCGGTGCGGTCTAATACGGCCTTTCTCCAACCATGAATGTGTGCAGAGAGAGACCAGAGTGACGAAAATTTGCTTGTTTTTACATTCATGAGAAGAATATCACTCGTTTGCGGGCCTTCAATCTGACACGAAGAAAAGGTCGGCCACGAACCAATAACGTTTATCTGCTGACGCTTGTGTTGCTACTGGCAATTTGGCTACGACAATAACGTTTTTATCCTCGTTACGGCCATTAAATTGGGAAATGACTTCTGTTATAGTACTTTCTGCTGCTATCAAAGTGTGCTCGCTCAGCGATTCTAGATAAATTCGCACCCGCATTGATTTAGCTAAAATCATCACTGGCTGTTGTTCCGTATCTTATCTATGTTTATATTTACTGTTCTGCTGAGCTCTTCATCTTGAATGTTACTCTTAATTTATTTTATGCGTGCTGGTGATGGCAGTCGCAAAAACTTCTCAAATCTCCGCTTATTTTTTATCCTTTGGTCTAACAAGCATTGTATCGCAACGCGTAGTTCATCTGTCAGGTTTCGCATAGAGACAGCAAGCACAACATGAAAAGGTACCACAATGCTGTACACAGTCATGACGACGGAGTAGTTATTTTGGGTGATGCGAACCCCACCCGCGCCATCTTATGACACCTAGGTAGCACGCACGCCCAAACACTCTTTAACAAATGACAAGTTTCTACCCACCCTTGTCTAAACCGAAGTCAATCGACAGAGGGACCAGCGTTCGAGACATCGTTACTGCCGCTTTTTGGCAAAATTTCGCGCCCGCTACATATTTCTAGCGTGCATTTCACAAACTGCCAATTGTATTTCTAGCATCATGTGTTCCTCGTCGTTACTCCTTCACTAAAAACAGTTCAATTCATAGGAAAAAAATTAAAAGTATTGCAATTGTCCATTGTAATAAAAGAGCCAGTCAAGGAACGCTTCCGTTAGGACGAAGAGATGTTCACGGCAATTAGATCTGTGGCCTTATAGTTGGAGAATATGGCGCTGGGCGCAGACGAGTCGTTAGCGTGGCGCCTGTCTGATGATTAGCGAAATCAGGCGAGCAATCAGAAAGAACATCGGCTATGCCTTGCTTGCTTCAGACATCGAACAGGGAGGGCACAATAATGGTTTGTAGTCCCGATGATTCTGCTAAAAATCGCCTATCCCAACGAAACAAGAGTAGGAAAACAGGGAGCTAGAGCTTATACATACGGGTGATGCTTGCTTGCTTACTACGTTTCCACGTACGAACATCACTGTAATACTGAAAGGAAGTAACGTCTCGTAAAAATCTTTTCAGTAGTCTCTGACGTTCTCGCAGTCTATGGCCAGTGCGTTTCCGCTGCGCGTGTAGGACATGGAACGTGTCACCCGAATGGGTTTGTAAATGACTGCATAGTCGAATATACCGATTCATCTACATCGATGATTTGTTTGCCCGACTTTTCGTATGTTGGCCTTCTTAACGCCTCATTCATTTTTCGACAATTGGCCGTGGACGCTTACAGACCCTTCGACAACCAGCATGATTCAAATCTAAAGCAACAGACTGATCCGAACTGTTTGTGAATAGCTCGGAACACTGAAAAGGACAATGAGCACTGCTAGTAGAAACGAGAACCGCAAACAGTCGATAAGAGTGCTGGACATGCCAACAAGCTGGCTGAGAATTGTATGGGCATGACCCGGAGGCGTGAGAGGTCGGAAGGTCATGAAGGAAATCGAAAAGGAAGCTATGAAATATGGACACATTCTGTTCATGAACCAAATATCTGCTTTTGATCTGGTCTGGTATCAGCGAAAATTTGGCCGGGCGAGAACCTCTTTCACGACAGCAGTAATTATATTGCGGATTAGAAAATTATGTTGACTTGATTAAAAAGTCATATTACCTTTGATCTGGAAGTTCTCATTCATACACCCTACAGTACCTGTCAGCAAGAAATAAATCAGCTAAAACCGATTAAATATGATACAAAAATAGCAGTCAGTATAATGTGACGCAGCTAACGAGCCGATACAGACATTTTTTTGTACTATATACAGATACTTTTGTGCTGCCGCATACCTAAGTAATACTCTCTATCTGAAATCTCTCTCTCTATCTCTTTCTCTATCTGAAATGTAAACAATTATGCACGTTTTGTTATGTCAGTCAATGGCGAGCGATAGCTGTGGCGACCCGAAAGAGCTAACGACGGAAAAAGGCAACTTCCTTCCAACAGTCTGCCTAATGATCAGGTTAGCACTCAGTCATCTTCCAATGGTTGTACCTTAGTCGAGCCTAGACATTGTATAGTTTAACCTTAGCCAGGCTCGATAGCGAAGCGTATCAATGTGCCGTAACGATAGAATACATGATTGTTTAAATCCATTAATGACGGAACGTATAAACGCGGTTGAATGAAGACAAATAAAATGTGCCGTGGCAAGTTGGGTTCCAGCTGTGTGACACGGTTCCTGCATCATCCTAAATGCCTCGGTGCATGAATTCGACCCCAATGGGCCCTCGCAGCAATCGGCATTTTACCTTTCTAAGGAACTGACGAGCTTGGCCTCGAGCACATGTAGCATAATAGTAACATGGAACAACAATATTCGACACGTTTATAGCATTTGGCAGAAGAAAGCTAAATCGCTACTCAAAGAAAGTGAATGTGGCCTCTGTCTGACCCACTGACCCAGATCGAAACAGTCATCTGAAGATGGTCGACATCCATCATCAGCGTTAATACCATCAGCAACCTTATCCTTAACATCAATTTGAAAGCCATTAAGCTGCCGGCATTAAACGCTACCCGAAGGCCTCCTAACACCAACAGACAACCCATAGATAACACACGCCGATGATCGGGGCTCGCATTCCTCCTTGTAAAAACCGACATCAGTTTTGAGATTGCGTAACACTACAGCAAAAGCAACAACGACAACAACAATAACGCAGGCCATGGGACCAGAAAGAGACAGGGGACGAGATCCGTGGCCAGAGGCTTAAAGGAAAACATCGATTGGCCGTTAAGTCATTGTCCGGACAATGATCGGTGTCATGGTGGCGATCATAATCGAAAACGACACATCGCTCACTTGCTTAGTGCCAATAGACTCTTGGCCAATAGAAAATTGTAGAAGAACCTCGAACCATTAACAGACGTGAAAAATGGACAAGTACTGACATTTTAAGCAATCGATGTAGCCATCCAAAAAAACAATAGCAGAATTCGTTAAGGTCAGCCTGCGCATGTGTTTGTATCTTTGCGAAACGTTATTTGGGCGTATGCGACCGGAAGCAAATTCTCTAGCTTCTCCTGGCCAAAGACCGCACGGTTCGTTGAAGGAGTGCGTTATCATTCGTACCTGACTTGGCCGTTGCAATCTAATCTACAGCGAAAAATGTGATAGAGACGATAAAAACCACTCCGCTTATCCTTATGCGGAGACAAAGGTATAATTAGATTTTATATTCATAGTGGATCCAAAGTAATTTCCGCTCTATCATTTCGGTAATGACTTCTTCTATATTGTTACAAAAATGAGGCATGCAATTAAAAAGTATCTGAAGCACAATCGTGACATGTAGATGTTCGACGTCCGATTCGTGAGAGGCAATACCCATCAGATGCTAAATCTCTGCCAGCATGCCCCATCTCTCTATCAGAATCAGCCAATCCTGTTGTTCAAATTGTACATAGATGCCGGCATCATTCACTGTATTTCAGTCGTTTTCCTCCCTTCTCTCGAACAACGACGAGCAAATTGCCACCTCTGATCATCGGTTTGTTGGCGGGTCTACTTCAGTAAAATGATGGCCCTTAGCCATTCTTGTGATGGGCAAAACTGGGTCAGCGAGCAAAAACGCTAAACGGAAATTTTTTGTGTTCTTCTCTCCTTCGTAAGAGAGTTGCAAGCGGGGAAGCTCCACGCCCTAAGCAAATGATGGGAAATTCGCTTAGCAGAAAACGTTCTAAGGCAACAGTAACAAAGATTTAACAACATACAGCAACTAGATCTGGGTCCATGCACGAGTACGTTACTACTCGTTGTTGAACCTCGTTTTCGTGTCGTTAGTGCTCTTGTTGTTATTCTGTTTGTCGGCATTTTCCTCGCTCGCATCAGTTTTTCTTTTTGCTCAGTCTACCGGTTAAAAAAGTCCACGGAGTCAGCCCGAGGGACTGAAAGCTGTCTGTCTTCCCGTCTGAGTTAACATAGTTGCGCGAGCGGGATGATATCTGCGCGAGAAGGTGCCTTTCGATAATGCGGTGGAATAGAACGTAGTAACAGTTAATACGGGACAGCAAATCAAGCGGCTTGAATGTAGCAACAGGCTTACACAGAAAGAAAGATGGCTGTCGTGCTCGTCGACATTTTCGTTGAGAAGTTAACGAAGCATCTGACAGCTGGACGAAGACGAAGTTACAGCAACGAAACGAACTGCAACTTGTTGTCAGATGGGGTGGAGTGATTGAAAAGTTCACGAAATAAGTAGACAGAAACGCATAGGAACAAAAGGGAGAGATGGCAAATGTCTACTCAGGGCTCATTCTTGACACTCATCGTTCTACCAGGCCATTTACAGACGTCGTCCTTTTTCTCCAAGCAGTCACGTTAGGAACGAGCGTCAGCTCATTTCCGTTCTCACTTCAGTCCAAACGAGTGGCGTGGATATTGCGTGACTAAGTATTGTTGGCAACAGTGCTTTCACTTTAGATACAATCAAAATGAAGTTATTTTTTTTTCTTGCACCCGATGAACGTGTAACTTCAATGGAGATACAAAAACGTTACGCTTTCAGAAAAGTAAGATCAGCCCTATGTATGATGTTGTAGGATAACGTGAAATATATGCGATGGGTTTTATATGGATTCACAGATGGGTTTACCACTCGTATAGTTCTCTACTAGCCAATAGCTATTGTCCAGGGTGTATGTAAATCGAAACATTAAACGTTACAAACACAAACAGCACTTACGTGAGAAGCGGCAGCCGTGGGATCAGCTGACACGGGTTGTCCATAGCGAATGGCAGCATTATCCAACATTGTCATTATGTCATAAAACTCCTTCGGCACCTATTTGGATTTAAATAGTATATATAGCATAGTAAACATTTTGAGACAGTTGAAATTATTGTAAGAGTTAGTATTAGATCTTTATCCACAGCTAACCTTGAGACATTATTTAAAACCTAATTTAGTTCATATTTAATATGATGTTTTAAACAAAACGTTGGCGAGCAAGCATGCTACTGCCGACCCCTGGCCTTTATCGTCATCACGTTTAAGGATTAACGATTTTCAACGATTGGCCAAAAAGTTCCCGTTAGGTAAAACTTCAAAATTAGACAAGAGATGAATGATGGAATTCATAGGTACTAGAAGCCCGATCTAAGGACGCTTTCAAGGCTTCATTCAACAAAGTTAAAGAACTTGAGTGAGACGAAGGTTAACAATTATATCATTAACAGTATCTTCAACTCGTACCTGCTCTCCTCCAAGACCTGCAACACCCTCGTACCCAGTCCTTTTGGCGAAGCCCAACATTCCTAAAACAAATTAACAGTGAATAAGTGTCCTAACAAAGCGCTAATTCGTATTCAGAGATCTATGAAAGCTTAGATTTCAAACACACATTACGATACAACGCAAAAGGCCGGTGGTAACGAAGAAAAAATGCACGGATGTACAAAGCGTACACGGTTGATAATGAACAAAAAGACAAAACAAAACAGTGTTTCCAGAGGACATCGACCCAGGTGCGCGACGCGGACCATAACAATAATCTTAGTTACGCTGGCAAAGAAGCGTACTCAATCCGACGCATCTACACAGATTGGGGATTACTAGCAACTGCTGACGGTAACCATTTAAAGTTACGTCATTGAAAACTTTACTTTTACGTAGGTCTATAATGGTGATTATATTAAATATTGTTTGTGTGCCGTATCTCACCAGGCAGAGATGAAACGACGCCGGGAACCATTCGCACGAGTGACACAACGCCGGTTGCTACAAGAAATGGAACTACGACAGAGTTTACAATCGGTTCGAACCTATATTACAAATAAAAATTGCATCAACTTAACGTTCAAGTTACCAGGCTTAACTGTACGGTATAAGTCATCTCCAATCGATCTGTTCGCAAGTGTCATTTATTTGTGCCGTTGTGTTTCAATAAACTTCGAAATTAATAGAATGTTGAAAGGACGCTTTCAATTCTGAGTCGAAAATAAAATACTGCTACATTGGCCGCGCGAAATCAGATGTGCATAAGAAACGAGCCAAGGCTATGTTTTCAGTGTTCTGAAGATGATAATTCAACTGAAACGTAATCAGATGAAGAGTCTAGCTGGCAAACATTTTGAAGATTTCAATATATATTGAATCATCGATGATCTGTATCCGCTGCTGTGTTTGCTGATTTCGGTGCCACTACAAGGAATGGTATATTTATTTAGTCGGAGCGTTCTTCGTTCTGTGACACCAAACGACCGCATCTCTATATCATATTCTCAATTTAATGGGCACACGCGTGAGTACGCGTTCATGTCTTGAGCAACGCTATTCACAGGTCTGCCTACTTTTTTTCTTGCGAATTGTGAACTTATTGATCGTAAGTTAGAGAGTCCTAGGGCTAGAAATGATCGAAGTCTAGACAGTCGACATGTTCACTTTGGGAACTACGACTTGAAACGTGTAACAAATTTTAAGCGCAGTTTAACTTTTTTCGAAACGGTATTGTATAGGTTTCGAAAGTTCAGGCACATGCGCTTTAGAAGCAAACAGTAACTTGCAAATGAGAGCTAGTATGACAAGTTCTAATTGCGGCTTAAAGCACAGTCGAGGATGCTCTTCGTTATCTTCCTTTGACAATTCTACTTCACTTTTTTTTACGTAGATTAGTCGAATTTATAATAAGAAACATTTTTATGAAACTCGTACTAATATACTAGACAGGGTAATTTTTGTTGGTAGTACCAATTTTATAGAGGCGCGTTGCATAGCTGAAAAAAACTTCAGGTCGACGTATACGGTTCTATGAAAACCAACGTCGTCGTGTTTGCGATCACGTCACCTAACGGAAACGACTCAATCAACGTACTGGATCAGCCTCTAGCCGATTTTTGACGTCTGACAGGTTCTACCAGCCTATGACTGTCAGGGCTTTAGCTTGATTTTAGTGATTATAATTAGTTTGAAGTCCGAGTATTATTATTACTTCAAGTTTAATAATCATGGTGTTAGCTAAAAATGTGTATCACATTTATACCGAACGCTTTAAGCCTGTGAATTGGTGAAGCCATATCGGCGCCGTGCGACAATGTGCAAAATAAGAGCTTCGCAGCGGCAGCCATCTTGCTTGCCTTCACCAAAAGCTTGAAGAGATGACGACTTTTTTGTCACTGTCCTCTCCTTTTGGGGCTCGTTTAGTTTCGAGGCGAAGGAACGGGACGGATGGACGGTACAACCACAAACGAAAACCAACGACAGCGGTAGCGGCCGCAAAATCATCACTACAGTCAAGCGAGAAGTGACTTCTCGAAATCGGGAGCATCGGGCCAATGACATTTTGACACCGAAAGTCGCCGTAGTTGTCTTCATCATCATCGAGAAAAACGAGCGGAACGAGGGCGGGGGTTGAACGGGACGCGGAGAGACGAAACGAAAACACCGAGGATTTACTACGAAAACTGATTACGGCTACAGCCGTCGTTGTGGATGGCCGCAGCGGCAAATTCTGCTACGGAGATGATCGCAGCCGCAGCGGCGGCGGCGGCGGCGGCGGCGGCGGTACGAAAAGCGTTCATCGTTTTTAGACGAAGTTTAAAGCCCATTCGCAATGTCGGCAAAATCATCAGTGCGCGCCATCACTGATATTAGCGCCACCCATATTTTAGGCATTTTAAGTGATGACCTTATTTAGCTGACGGCCATAGTAGGAAGGGAGCAAGAAAAACAATCCGAAAATTCGCCCATTCCTCAACGCTTTGTGCGCTGCGCAGATACACAAAACGAGCGCAGAAAGCGCGATTGTTTAGCACGTAGTCACTTATATCTGGGGATTACATAAAACTAAGAGACAAAAAAAAGTGGGTTTCAAACGATAAATGTGACCCTTGAAGCTGTTCCAATGTACACATAGTAGTTATTTAGTAGGCGTTTTTTCGAGTATTAACAAAATTATAGGAAGTAGAAAGTAAGAACTAGTAGAAGTCTGTTTACTGTAAATAAAAAGCTTCAGAGGGCTTTTTTAGTCGCGTGATAAAATGCGAGTATCAATAGACGCCTGTTTCCAACTGGCACATGTAACGGTACTGCTAAATATCCATGTGTACGATAAGAGGTCTCACGTAAACTAGCAAAAGTTCGAATACGTTTCATGTGTCGTAATTGAAACTGTTCAAATGTTTCCCATTTGTCAATTGTCTGTCCGGCCCTAGTAGACCGGTGAAGATTTCTGTTGGTATAGGTACTGGGTGCCATCTCTTACCTGCCAAGCATTGAGGCCCTTCCGGTGATAAGTGATTTGTCCTCTTTTTTGGTATCAACAGGCACTGATAATACGCAGTGTAGCATCACCACACAGGCGATAAGCTTAAGGATCGCGCGCATTTCGATATTTGTTGATGACGTGACCTAAACGACATCGCGCAGGCGCGATGCCCAATCGTGAACAAAGCATTATCATCATTAATGGTATCCTCTGAATATAAGTTGTACTTAACGATATATTTCTCTATCTAGCGTACTCGTTCCTACTTTTCTGATTTCTGAAGTGGAAACAAAGCTGTTTCTTTATATTCATCAGTACCACTCTAGTTAGGTGAAACACTCTAGCAGGCAACACAAGAAAGACCAGCAACGGGGAGTGGAAATGTTGTAGAGAAATAATTCGAATCAGTGTCTTCGGAAGAGCTAGAAAGCTTCGCGCTTTCTGTCTCAGTATTTGTTGGACCTGCACCAGGGGACAGCAGTATCTGCTCGCGGTTTTAACGAAACGTACGATGCAAGAAAGTGAAAGCTGAATATTCTAGCAAGAAGAACACGCACGAGCATCTAGTGAGGTGACGGGCCTACCCCCCGCTGTCGATGTTTGTCGCCAACGCCGGTTTGTTTGGGGTGCATTTCTCGCACCCGAGAAAGGACTAGTAGAAAAAACGGAAGAACGAATAACCGAAAAAGAAAGGCATACCGATCGATTCGGACCTATAGGTAAGGCACCCGCCAGTTTGAGTGCACACTTTGATTCTGCTCGCTGCCATTGGCATAAAAGATGGCGAGTTGTTGGTTGTCAAATATGTATACAAGTGCTGTTAGTCGACAGGAACACGCAATGTTTGTAAAAAGGTACACAGGTGCCAATTACCATTCGACAATGAAAGCCAGCTTACGCTAGCCACTTGTTGTTACAGGCGTAGCGTCGTTCCTATTTTGTTCACTCGGCCGGTACCTCTGAAGAGTTACTACATAGATCGCACATCTTTCTATCGAAGATCCCAGGGTAAGATTTGTTTTCGTTCCTTCTAGGTCTGCTTTTGGGGTGAAAAGTTGAGATAGCTTAAAAATCAGCTGTGTAAGGATAACGATCTCACATCACGGAGTTGCAAATTCGTCGTTAGACAGGAAAAAATAACCATCTGGGTTCGATGTGATTAGCTTAAATCACATCAAATTAGTATTTAAGGGAACTAGAAGATCAACATAACCATTTGCGTCATTGCAGATGTGGTCGTTCAATGAAAGATCGAATGTTCAACGAATCTAACGGAGATCTCTAATCAGGAAGATGAGTGATCTTACGCAGGTCTACGAAAATGCTCTGCTGTTTACGTGACAAATAGGGAAAGAAATTTATCTCTGTCTAGCGTTAGACGATGAAAAAAACTGATAGAGCAGCGTGGAAGGACAGAGAAAAACTATTTTGATTATGCTCATATCCGTATTTATCACGTGCTGGAGATCGTTACGAGACGCACTCTGGTAAGCACAAACGCACAGCGTATCCGATACGAGAGTTTCTATCACATGACACTGAACAGAAGTGCGCCGCGTTATTACTTCAGGGTGCACTCGTCGCTGTGGGATATGATGTTGTGAAGCTTGCACGATTTCGAAAACTAGGTAGATGAATGGATGCAGTTGCTGTTACAGGCGGTAGGGAAAAAAAGTCATATGTGGGAGGAACGGGGCAGATGGGGGCGTTTCACCATCGTCATTGTCAGCATAAGCTTTATGACAATTGTTGGCGGCACCATACCTTAAAGCAGAAGGAATAACGAAGATTTGTGCGCAGTCTCGATTTCTGAGAGCGGCTGTTCGTCTCTGTGAGTTGTACGCTTGTTCGATGCGCGCCTACCGCTAGTCCTGTCACGGTGGAAAAAAAGAGTTGAAGCCTCGAGCCACGCGACAGTTGCTTTTAAAGCACACACAGAGCCCAACAATAGCGATGGGTTCACGATCGCGAGTGACGATGGGTGATGGCAGAATGGGGCAAGAAGGGAAAGGGCGTCACTTCAATGCATACTCAGGGGAAAGAAGAAGAAGAAGACGAAGTCGACGAAGATGAAAAGATGTTCCCAGCTGGTATGGGGAGAGGGCGTTGGGTGAGAAAGAAAAAGACGGGTCGGCCGAGAGCCAGATCTTACGACCAGCTCGGCCGGCCGGCCGGCCGGCTGGCCATCTACGCACCAGCGCTAGTGAACAGGCGCTGCTGGCTAACAGAGAGAATTTGGGCGGGTACTAGAGCTGTCAGTGGCGACTTTGCTGTTACTTCTGGCGCTGCGGCTTATCCTATTGGTGTTTGTAAGTACCTGTAAGCGCTTCTTGTATGGTGTGATTCTTGGTGCTCGCGTGTGTGTGCGCGTGTTTGTATACGCGCTCGTGTCTTCGTGGAAGAGAACGAGCGAGAGGGCGAGGTTGCAGTGGCGCTTGATTTCACCGTTAGCGCTGGGCGACGGCGTTCCGGTAAAGAATGCTCTGTCGAGAAATCCAGACACGGCAGAGAAAGGATATGCGATCTTGATGGAAAAATGTGCCCATCGTTCCAGGGGCGATGTGGGTTGCTGCTCATGATGATGCTGCCGGTCGTTGGTGGTGCTGTGGTCGCCGTCGAGGTGCGCAGCTGGTATTGATGTTACTAGTGGCTTTAACCGAATTCCAGAGCGCGGCGCCGCCATGCGGACATGCCATCGCTGCCAGTCCTCAGTTCTGTATACTTGTGGGTAAGTGAGTGTGAATGTATGTATACTTCTTTGTGGAGTCACATAGATACGAAGCAGGAGGAAGCTGGAGTAGTACTGACAGCGGCAGCCCTTCAACGCAATGAACGAACGCTTCCCGTACGATTCGCAGCTGTGCGGCTCCAGCCGCTTCGCAACCACCGAAGTGTACATGCAGTCAGTCAACGGAATCGTTTTCATCGAGAAGCGTTCTCTCACAGGAGCAGCCAGAATTTACGGAGAGCGTCGGCGAACGACGCCACCATCGGCATGGGGATAAAAATGCCGATCTAGAAGAAGATGAAGTCGCTGGAGTGACCTAGAAGCGACAATGGCAAAGCAAAAAGCCGTCGGATCAAGCAGTAGACGGTAGGACGCATATAGACAGACAGGTAAACTTGCTTCAAACAGGCAGGCAGGCGGCAGGTAAACTGACAATAACAAAAAAAGAAGAAGGATGGACGAAGAGATCTCTAGCGCAAGGGAGAACGTGTCAGGGTAAAGTGATGCGAGTCTCTTTCAAGAGGAATCAAGCGAGGATCGGGTAATTAACGGCAAGGTGCAAGCTTCTACAGAAACAGAGGCATTGGCAAGATATATATATGTATACATATTTTATTTTTTAGTGAGTTTATTGCGTTGAAGAGCCGCCGCTACGCATGTTATTTTAGCTCCCCCTTGGCTTCGTATCTGTGTGACTTCACAATGACGTGTACATGTATTTACACTCACCTACACACACATTCACGTCACTGACAAACTACATAGCTATAGCAAATTACCGTCTCCATGATTAACATCGACATGGTCGTCGTAGGAAGGAATGGTGTTAGCCTTTTGGCCACTGGGGAAACCCAGTGATTTCAACTGATGCCTGATACATTTTTCTTAACATGTCAAGGAAATTGAACAATAAACAGATGCATAGGAATAAAACACCCTCTCTCTTACTCCCCCTACTCTAAAGACTAATATGCATTTGTGTTTGTCACAGTCGCCATACGATTGTATTTTACTTGGGAATATTTTTTACATAAGAGTGTGCCTATCTTGCCTGCTTCCTACATCTATTACGGTGACTGCTGTATTGTCTAGTTACATGGAAACAGACTATCGATAATAGGGCATATTATTTGGTGAATAATGCAAAAAACTCTATTTTTGAACATTATAACTTTGCGTCTCGCCTTCAATTATTCTCGAAGACCAATGCGGACAGGCACAGTACTTCAATCCGCCACATGAGCACCGAATAGATTTGATTCATACGAAAATTCCTACATGTATATGTATTTCTATATATAATATAAAATATATAAGGCTATCCACAAAAATTCGCACGAAAACATAACTCACTAGGTACTTGTGACTTCAATTACTTGAAACAAAAAAAATAATGCTGCATTGAACTACTATGACACCCCCCCCCCCCCCCCTAGTATATACAGCACGTAACCCTGTTATCAATGCCTGAAAAAGCTCTGTTCCCTCAACTGCAACTTTTTTTTTTATGACATTGCCTAAATATTGATGCAGGAGTTAACAAAATGAAAGCTACGAGGGACAAGAAAAGTTTTTATTACTAACTAACATGTTTAGAAAAAGTGTTTAATGTTGGAGTCGCTTGAAGTTCTGGGTTGATTCATTTTTTCAAATGTAAGTAAATGTTCTCACGGAACTAAAGTTGATTTCCAACACCCATATATATTTGTAGAAAGGAACACTATCTAAACTGTTATTCTACAAAATGTTTATCACGATGGCGATGGCAGTGAGTTGCGAGTTTACTGTGATGGACCCAGTTTGTTGTTCGGTCCAGGCAAACCCCTAATAGTTAACCTCCCCCCACATAAGGTCTATAGTGAACACATTGGGAAGTGTTTAGCTGCCGAGGAGCAGCGTAATTGTGTGTATTTCATGGTCTCCTGCTATCATTGACATGAAAGTTCTTTAGCTTGCGCGAAGGTATTACCTTCAAAATACCCGGTACGCAATTCGATATTTTACCTTTCCTCTTTGCCGTATTCTTCTATTTATTCTCTAATTCTTGTCTATTTTCAGAGGTAAGCTTCGTCTTGCACGATAGTCTGTTTCGATACGTTAGATGTGTAGTGTGAGGGGCCATCAAGTTCTCAACTTAATTAAGGGCCATCTTTCTCAGAAACTTAACAAGCTCTAAAATTATCTCTTGCCTTAATCAAAGAATACTGTTTCGACTAAGCTTATGTATTTGATTAAGACGACTGAATTTGTCTATCACTAAGTCGCTATATTTAGACTGATGGGAACCTTGGAAAAATCGTCTAAAAAAACTCTGACCAATATTTAGAGGTAGAAAATGGAATACCTATGGATGTTTACGGTGATTTAAAAAGACAACGCATAAAAGATTATTGTCCTTTCGACTTAATGGTCGTTCTGAGCGATAGGTTTAGACTAAAGATTTCATGGAGTTCTATAGCCAACAATTTCGCTGGCCAAGGTTTTGGAGGCTGAAAGTTACGATGAAGAGACACGCTTAAATCTCTCAGGCTCTTAATAATCCAATAAATATTAAGAAGAAGAAAAAAAACTATTCTGGTAAAGAGTGATTCTTCTTTTGACCAACAAGGGTACACTGCGCTGGTTGCTATCTCTCTAATTTCTTATAACCCGATGAGCCAATACAATAGTTAATCGGATCATGCGGGAAGTCGCTCAGAAGATACTTCAGAGTTTTTTTATAACCTAAAAATAAAACAAATGATATTTTCATTCGGTTATAGTCACGATCGTTTTTTAAACGTGCATGAACAGCGTTCGTTACAACCCACCGCTTTCGTTGGATAGAAACCATCATATAGTGTATATGCCCTATCTGATGCTTCTTAATCATGCGGTGACTCTACCAAACCATACGGCCAGGTCCTCCTGAAGGAATACACGAATCATACCTTACTGTGAGCATTCTCCCACTATTGTTACATATATATGTACATATATTGTATACAGAGGAGCTATTGTTACATACCGCTTCGTATTGAGCGCAACAGCTGACACCACAAACTGTTTGAACTGTCAAATCGACAAATGTTTATCTGTAATCCGTTCATTTTCTATAAAGTCATGTAATTACACATTACTTAAACACAATGTTTCATTTTATTGATTTGTTTGTCGAGGCAATTTTCAGCGTTAGCATAATTTTCATTCTTTTGCCTTTTATATATCTCAATGGCAGATACTCACGTCAAAAGCCGTTGCAAAATTTCAATAGTTCTACTTTGCCGCAGTTCTGTGCTCTTCGTGTAACTTAACAGTAACAGTTTATCTATTGGCCGATTATTCCCGAAGAGCTTGGTGCGATCTGTCGTTGTGCTTTGTTGTCCAAACGTTGTTTGGACGCAAAAATGTCCATGGACGATCGTATTGTCTGTAAATATAATCATTATTTTATCCACGGTCATAAATATAGCCTTCTCACGCGTACGCTACCTTAACTGTTTAGTCTATGAGAATGTTCCACTTACCCATGACTACCCTAAAAGCATTCGAATGTTTGTACCTACTACCATTACCAAGCCTGGAAGCAAGGAAGAAGGCAGACTAATTAGGAAGCGCTGGGTTGGTCAACGCTGGACTTAAAGCATCATCGCTATGTTCATATAACGAGTGTTGGCTTAATGCAGCGGTCGATTCTTCATTCACATTTTAATTTCCGCTCAAAGATAAATGATGACCAATGTATGATCTGGTCCCTACTGAAAGTTGCGGTCCACTCGAAGATTCGTTGCGGGACCTTGTATGATCCGCAGCAACGGCTGAAAGGTAAAAGCCTTCGTTGGTGGACGGCCAACAACTGGTAGGCGCTGCCAAACTATGGCTTGCTAGTTCGAATGAGGCGCCACCTATACACAACATAAACCACATGGCGTAACTATTACTCTTTAAGAATTGGGCGCTGTTTCTTTATTTTACCACATGTATCTAATTGAATGAGGTTAGGTAGCTGCTTGAAGATTAAGCATTTAGGAAAAACGTAGCGTAAACAAATTCTCCAACACATCCGCGCGCTAAAGGAAGAGAGAGTGGTAAATCGTTGCCATTGAGATGGGCCACGTAGGCATAACAATAATAGATGAACGTTCATTGAGGCAAACTTGATGCATTTTTGCTGAAGTCACGTGTCGATTACATTGACCGTCAGAAAGCACGGGTAAACACAACGCTGTGGTAGCTCGTGCTCGACCGCTGTTTCCACGGCCGTCGCTGCCGCCGGCAATGCGCTAATATTTGCTAGGATACGAAAAGTGTCAGGCAATGGCGGATGTCGAGCCGGACAAGGACTTCAGCGAACAGCAGAGTATAGCCGATCGAAGGGGAGGAGCGGGGCAGCAGTAGCAGGAGGAACAATTATAATGGCAACCGTAAAGAAAGGAAATATTTATAGCGGGAGAGAGAGCAAGGGACGAAGGGCGAAAGTGGAGTTGCAATGGCCGGTAGAACTGCTCCAAATAGTTGCGGAATAGCTGCTGGCGTCACCGGTAGGGCATTTGGAAATACGTGAAGAAAAACGTGTTCGTATAATTTCATAAATTAGACTGGCTAGTTAATTTACGAACAAAAAAAATGGGCTATGACGGTAAAAGGAATAGAAAATTTCTGTAAAATATGGGGAACCGACATGAGAGATGTGATACGAATGTGTGACAAAAATTGTATGTGTTTTAGCAGTATTTTAGCTTCCTAATAAGCTCTGTATGAGTTGAACGCCCAACTGGCTGTCGCTGCTATGCTTGGATAAATAAAAATTACGTGTCCCTTACAGGCTATGAACCCCCGACGTTATCAAGTGGTGGTCTATGTTTTTAGTTTGGGGTATTACATGTATGGCTGTTATGCTGAAGTTATCGTCGAACTACGAGCCCTATTATTTCGACGTTCATCCCCGCACACCGCATTGATACCCTGTTATGCACTTGATACTTAGCGGTAAGTATAGCCATTGTTGGGACTGGGTGGTGTAAAACCAGACCCAGAAGGAATCAGCATGGCTCAGTTCCGTGTCGATAAACGATGAGCATATTTATCAATTTATTGCAGTAGATATACGCATCGTAACGGGCTTTTAGTCGAGTGGCTAGTACAACAGCGCTCGTCCCGATAAACAGCAAAAATTGGAGATTTAATTTTTGCATCAGCAACGCTAGCCGCAGATGAAATCAACGAGACAGAAAGCGGCCGCAACATTGATAACACTGACGACAACGTCGTGGATGGAACCGAAAAACGTGGCAACGAATACGCCGCGACCAGAAATGCACTGACCCAATAATCGACGAGCCGCTCCGACTGACATGATAATCGTGGGTTCGGTGTCGTCACCGTCACGTTGCGTGTCTGCGTGACCTATTGCTAAGTCAAATGTTGGCACGAAGAGTGTACTAGTCTCTGCTGACGCTATTGTGTATGTGTTTGAGCGGAGGTATTTGTTTACCTTTTTCTGTGTATACGTGTGTTTTATGCTAGCCGATGATGTAACTCAACGCCGAACGCCATCGCCCTCGACATTATGCCGCATCATCGTTTCACTATTTGCAGTTTGTAGTAACACTGGAAGCTCGATCAAAATGAAGTATCTCATATGTAATGAGATTTTCGCTCGCTCTTAGACTCCCGAGAGATGTCACAATAACTTCACAAAATAACTTCTCAAGCAATAACTGTTGTCATTGCTAAATGTCTCATTGGACTCTTTTACATAAATATCCGTCTACTATATCGAACCAAATCTAAGCTTCAATAGCCATAGATCTAGACCGTAACACATTGTACTTTATTTATCACAGGAAATTAACAGTGTTATTTAATTGCACGAGAGTATATGCCTTATGTTTGTTTCTACTCTCCACCTCGAAAGGATAAACTTTTTCATCGGTGACGTCGTTCAATTCGCGTATATTATGTTTGACGATTTGTGTTTAGGGTTCTCCTTTGTTTTATATCACTTCAAGTACGACTGAAGTATTTTGATGAGGTGTAACGGCGAAGGCACAATTGGCTTTGCTGGACACTGCGATTTTAATTCAGATAATCTCCGCATTGGTACAAATGCATTTTGCTATTTAGGTAAGCACGACCTGATTTTCCTGATAATGACAAGGACGCATAGGGTCACCAAGTTTTATGAGCTCTACCTTAAACAGTTTCTCGAACATCGGTGTTGTTCCAGGCCTCGTTTATGGGATAGTCGCGTAGTATGTGAGAGGTTCTTAATGCGTGACAGCTCCCCCTAATTGCGCCCCTAAAACAAGCAAAAAAACCGTAGATCATTAACAAGCTGGGCTTTTGTTGCTAGATAATTTGTGTTACTATTATTTTGGCCGATTCTCCTTAGAAAAGAAGCCAACGAATAAATTGACTATAATTAAATAAGAGAAAAAAAAATTATAATAAAGAATAAATTGAGTGAGACAGTCAAAGACGGGCCTTGCGCTGCTGTTGTGTCTCCACGATGAGCTTACCATCAGTCTTTGTTACAATTGTAGCTATCCGAGGGGTCATATAATAAAGGACGATCTTGGATGGAATAAAGGACTGTTTTTGTGCGTACAGAGATGCTTTTCGAATCTACTGTAATCTTTTTACGTACGCTCAAGGTTCTTTTTTCACGTTGAGACGGTTGCCTCGGTCGTCTTGACGAACACCGTATCGTCTGCACTATACGTCCTTAAGCGACAAAAATTGATGATATCGTTACTCGCTCGAAGCATCGTGACTTGTGACAACTAGATCAATTTGTGTTGCACCAACAAATAGAACTCTCCCTACAGCCATTTTACGGTCTACTGAAGGATCAGGAAGGGCGTCCATGCTACCTGCTCGGTGCCTCGGTATTACGAGATTTTCAACCAGATTTTTCCAGATAGATTATATTATTTCTAAATAGACTCAGCGAACCTTGACGCCTGTTAGCAAACAGTGTGCATAAAGAAACGATTGCGATCGGTTCGATATAATTATCCGAAGGTATCTTATCACCATAAAATTACGCGTTTATTAGATTCATTCGCAGAGAGTGTATTGGTGCCTAGAGGCCTTAGGCCTTTCTAATATAAAGCAATAACGAAAGCGGGTTACCAACCAAGCCAAATTGTGAGTAGCATTCAGACGCGTAGTAATACTTTCCAGGAGTAATTCATTATCTTTCTGTTATTTACAGTATACTATGATTCACGTATGGATAAGACGCCGTGCAACAAATATACAATCGCATTTATGTGACGGTGTAGTAAAAGTAGGCAATTTTGAAGGTCTGTTTTGAAGTCTTTTCCTTGGATTTATGCATACATATCATTACAGCTGTACTGGGTACTGAGCTCCTTCGATATGTGTTCAAGGATAACGACACCGAGCGAAGCAGTTCGTTTTTTTTTCCTTTCAACTTCACCATCAGTCGCTCTTTAATGAGGAAACCATTGCACAGAGCTTGTTGTATCATTGCGTAATCCGTCACAGAGAGCAAAACCGTCTCACTTTAGTACACAATGGCAAAATTTTTTCAGCTTTCACTGGCTAGCGTATAGTAAACGGTGAGCAAAGCTTCCTAAATAAGCATTTAAGCAGTTTCTATCAAAGCAGCTTTGTCATAGCTACAAATTTCAAGCTATGGATAATTCACTAGGCACTTGCAATGCTTAAGTGCTGTCTACCAAATTTTAAGGTAAATAATTTTATAAGTATTATAAAGAATTGTGTCGGAATTTGAACTTTTTAATGTTATTCTAGAGTGATTTTATAATAAACTGGACTCTGGCTGGTTTGGCGGATTCCAGTTCGCCTTCAGTTGAAGAAGCTTTCATTTGCAAGCGCTAATCTTTCTATGTACTATGTCTAAAAGAAACCACATGAAATAATCTTCGGAAGCTTTAGATTTGTCAGACTACTAATTGCAATCGAGATCGATCTTCCATTGTACTATGAGAAGATTCCTGCTGTATTAATGCCAGTTAATAAACTGGCATTAATACAGCAGGAATCTTCTTTATTAGTGTGGATTGATGTTGTGCTTAACGGCCTATTATTCGACACGAAGTCATTCCTATAACCATGCGATGGAGATGGACGCGTTGGCATCAGCGTTGCTAGACGCGTATCAGTCCTGGCCCAACAACACACACATCAAGGTGAACTGATGTAAATATCGTCTTGTAGTACTACCAAGTGAGCAATATTATCCATATGATTCCTTTTTTTTTTCTTTTTAATATATCTATATGCATATATACGCTATATGGACATATGCTTAACGTCAAATGAAGTGAAAAGTCTTTCAAAATGTATTCGAGAGAATCGTCTAACAGGATACATTTACCTACACGATGTATACGTACTACTATAATTTTCGTGCACATCAAAGAAGTACATAATGTAATCATTTTAACTGTGGTACGTGCGAGAACGAACAGTTGTACCGTTTGTACGTTCAGGCCCATAGGTCTTGCATGTTGTATAATTGCTATGTTAGTATACCATGTAGGCTATGCAATTGTACGACAAATGAATTTTGTCTATGGAAGTATTTTTCAACCGAAACCTTTCCGGAACGTCTCCCTATTTATGAAGAATCCCTTGATCTAGCTAACCTTGCTTAGCATACTTCGTCGGTCCGTCGTCTTTTCAGGCGTTGAAGATTCTGCGTTCGCGAGATCTGTTAACGAGGAAGAAACTATCTCAATAAAGGGGAACAACGGTAACGATTTTTTATGTCGTCGATAGTGGGCAATTAAATGTGTAAAAGGCGACGCACTTATCAATGCGCATGGTGTTGAGGTTACCTTCGGGGAAGTCTCATCGTTTGATCTTACTAATTGCCCTATATTACTACTCGAGCTCAAATCAATGCCGACGACAGTATAGATAATTGTAAGGAGCTGCTTCTACGGATATGTAAACGGAAGCTGCAGTTTGAAAAGTGCAGAATGGTCCTTTTGCTAGAAAAAACTTCGGCAAGAACGCGTCCCAAATACGTCTTGCGTATGTAAGTAGGGATACGGCCAAAACTAGGATGAGAATAGAGGCGGGATTACAACGTCTGCGCCGCTGGCGTAGCGATGGATCATTCAGGCAGGTGGAGTTAGATTCTCGTGGCGCCTTCGGTTGTAAACCGCTCCCAGTTCAAATCGTGCAGAGATAACTGAGGTATATGCCAAAGAATCAGCTGTCGTTCTTCTGTAACCATGATACACGATGTAAATAGGCACGATCATCTGAGAAATAGTAGTATGAAGTAAAGGAGAGCTATATATAAGTGAAGTGTTTGTTTTAAAGCATTAGTAGAGTAGAATTTTAGGCACTCGTTGATTTTCCGAGTTCAAAGATTCATTAGTCCAAGTCTGCCAAACGCAACACGTGTAAGTACAGCAGTATACTATACCATAATCCATTAGATAATCATTCGGGTAAAATTGTATAATGAGTACCTGGAGTTCCCGTTGTTGCAGAGAGGCAAAGAACGATACACCGAAATTTTTAGGGCATAGAGATTAAGTTAAAGTCTAACTCTCCGAGTTGGACTTTAACTTAATACAAAAAGCGAAGATCCTTATCAAACGTTTCAGACTATCGTGCTAAAATTACGTAAAGGGTTATATCAAGATGTCTTGACATCGATTTGTGGCATCAAATACTTTCTCTGAATAGCGAGCGAATATTGAACGTGATATAATTATAACAAAGTATAAAATAATAATTATATATATATATATAAATATAATTTTTTTTTTTGCGCAAAAACGCCTTTAAAGTACCACACATCTCAGCTCACGTGTTTATGTTTTACGGTAGTATTTTTTTCAATTGTATTTAAAAGCGTTAAAAAATGCAAAGCTGCTTAGTTCTGATTAACCCAAAAGTTATTTTTTTTTGAAGTTAGTCTTTTGGAATGAAAACATTGACGACTGCAAATACATACAAGTATCTATCTTGGAGAATCTGACTCAGGCATCCAGCTCCCTTTACGTATACCCTTAATTAATTCGTACCTCTAAATCCAGGCGAAGTATGACAGTATATTAACAAAGTGGCACTAAGTTTTTCATTGTCATCTGCTTTTGTAATTTACAGGCAAGTTATTGCAGCTTAATTGTCTAACTTACCGTCGACACCTGGCTCGACTTAAGTACCTGATAACTCACTAGCTTGAAAGACAGATCAGAAGTGTTCGGATCCGTATAACTCTGTCGGAAGAGGCGATGAAACTTGCCGATGGAATTCAGTGACGGTCATACTGTATCTAATTAGGCTGACGTCAGGGACGGTTGTCGTTCCGTTAAAACAGGACGGGTCGGAGTTATGGTCAAGGAAAACGGTGATTACTGGGCGCATTGTTGCCTCCTTTCGAGGATTGTACTTTGCCAACCTTGCAACGATCACAAAAAATAACCTAGCAGTTATTATTGTCGCCGATGACCTAACGATCCGCGTATCTGCAGAGTTGAGACTCTCGAAAATATACTGGACAGATGCGTAGACATCATAAAGGATAACATAGATAACATTTCCGCGTAGAAAGCTCAAATTTTCGACTCAAAAGGACGCAGCTGAAGGATGATGATGACCTTCGCTAAGTGTCGTGCTACGCTGAAGACTCAACAAAACCCGACTGACTTCGAGAATTAACATTTGTCTCAGGATAGGAATTATGAAGTTAACAGACATGTGTTCCTCTGAAGACACGCGACCCATAACAGCAATATTTAAGTTCACAATGTTCTCTTTTCTACCTTTCTACTATGTCTTGAAGCTCGCTTCAGGCGACAGAATTCGGTGTGAAGTACGTACAGCATGTTGACGGCAAGTTTAAGAAATCGATGCCTTTATAATTAATAGATTATGCTAGACTACAGAGTAAATGGACTGCGCTAAAGGCAGAAACGATTAGAATTAACGCAGGCATTTGCGATTAACAACGCCATGCAAAATAGGGTTACGAAATAGAAGAATGCTGCGAGCTGTTCTTCATATCACTGCCTCCCTTCTCCTGCTGAAGATATAGAAGTAGCAGAGCTCTAGGGAGTACGGTGTTAAGTAGAACCGTACCAAATGACATACACAAATAAGCATTACGTTTATGTATTTAATTCCGCTACCGCAGTAGAATAGATACTGACATATTTTGTTCATACACGTGATACAGCCACCTAAATAAATAGCTGTCCCTAAAATTACGTTTTATTATTCTAATTTCGACGATTTATTTCACGAGTAGGCCTTTCACAGGACCGGTGTCCGAAATGCTGAGCATTATACACAGTCCAGACAAACAACAGCCAGCATTGGCACGCTTCCTAAAGCGTCTGATGAAAACTACAAGCATTTGAATCAGAAAGCTTTTCTACGAAGGATAACATCGAGCATGAGTTAGCTAAGGACAAATGGAACACATGCGATCTGGATCCTGGTATCTGTGTATAGAATCGATATACGTATGTCTGTACGTATACATGTATCAATAACTTCATGTAAGCAGCCAGATTGTACATCTTATTGTCTCGTTATCTAATATAGCAACAAAAACTTCAACTATGCTAGAATAATGGCCTTCACAGCCACTCATGCATACGCGTATATATATATATATACATATATATGCGTATTTGAGCTATTCTTGATTATCGCTCATGTTTTTTATATATTTATTTACTATTTGAAAGCTTGTGGAAGTTATTTCTTGGCACCTGTATTGTCGTCAATGTACCATGTCTATACTACATCAACGTATATTACGTAAATTAGGTAGTGAGATAAGAAAGAAGAACATAACGCTAACGAGCAGCGTCGCAGATGTATCCATGCGTCTTGAAAAACTCCCATTAGCTTCTGAGCGCGTTTGAAAATCTCGAGAACTGAACGCAGGGGTAGCTATGTACTTTGCTATCCGCGTAGTTTGAGACGATTAAGAAGCCTGGGGCTCTTTGGTAATTGATCGCGTCGAGCGGCTATTTGAAGTTACCTGGACATTGTTATGAGCATTTTTTGATGAAATCTCAAACTATAAATAAAACGCATGGTTATTTAATGTTAAGAAATTATATATATGGTATCTACAACGGCATAAAACGTAAGTAGACTGCTTGTTAGATTCAAATTTGTTTCAAGCGCCTATAATAAACTTCATATGTTTATTATAAGTTATAATTTATAACTTCACATAATAATAAGTTCACATAATGTTTTATATTTATTTCGTTGCATTGCTTAACACGGGCAATAATATTATACAGTGTTTTTATAGCATGCATGTTTTACGTACGCGCATGCGTATGCTTTATGTATGTATGTGTATATATATATATATATATATATATATATATATATATATATACAAAATTATATGCGTGTTAACAGTATTGCACTGCTCACAGGTTCTGCACTAATGTCAAAAGCGGACTTACCATAAATGTATGAGTAATGATGAGTAGAAAACATGCACGTGCTCGATGTGCATGACACAATGTCAAGGTTATACACAGATCTCGGGTAGTGTGTATGTTTGAGCTTTTGGTCGTGCAGTTCTAAACGCTCAGAACTGCTCTAAACGTGCAGGAACGCTCATACTTTAGCTCACTGCTGAATTTTTAAAGCATCGCTAATTGCATAAATATTAAGTCGAACCGCTTTAATGGTTCCCTAAGTTATATTATCAACGACCGTACCAACATGTTCGTTCCACAACATGGTAGCCAGGTCCTATTTGAAATTAGTCTAGCATATCCGTAACGGCGGTAACTACAGACAAGGACACTTGTGGTTCAACTGCACTTTGCCCATTTCCCGGCACGGCCTTAAACCAGGTGCAGGATCGACATGCTCTTTCATTCATTTATGGCATTTCTTCTTCTCGTAGCCGCTTGGGTAGTATTTTACGATCTCATCGGGCCTCGGAACAACTTTAGTTCTTCTGTTTATTCGTTAAATACCCCATCAGATCATATTCGTTTAACAAAGTCAAATCGTGTAACTGAAGAAATTCAAGTTTTATTTTTAATATTAATTTTACCTGAAGTCGATTGATAAAGTTGATCTGGAATACTGCTAATATTACCTCGGGTTTTCATATGAACGTCATTGTGAGTAAACTCAAGTTTATCCGGAAATTAGGACAAGTGTGTTTTGATACAAAAAAAATGCAGAGACTGATGAATAACGAAAAGGCTCAATTAACATAATTTGTTAATGATTTATTTTCTACCAAATCGTTAGTGATGCCTGTCTATTCGACTGACTACAGGGTCCGTTTTTAATTTTTCGCTTTGTTGAGTGGCTCACTTTGGGTTGGATGATGCAAAAGTTGATAGGAATCGAGCTAGGCGAATCTGTCAGACCAGAAAGAAAACGTTTTCTTTCAATGAGAAAAAAACGACGTATTTAAATAAATCAGAAAATTGCGATGAGATCAATACAAATTACCTTCATGTTCATATACCACGGGCTTCGTATATAGATGGGACCAAAGCGGAGCAGGTAGCAATAATTTTTCGCCGCTAAACATGAAGGCTCTTTGAGACATAGTGCCAATGACACCACAAAGCTAACTTACCGCAACTACCTAATACCGCAAATGACTATCGCACGTATGATGCACGTAACTTCTGTCGCTAATCAATTAAGCGTCCATCATTGCCGCAGCAGCATATAAACAGTGCCTGATTGACACGAATAGCTGGAGTTAGTAATCGATATCTGACAGCCCGACTATGGTGACCACCGTTGTATAATGGACCCTAATAAGAGGCTCTACGCTGTGCAGGCCGAAGACGGCTAGCTTTTTTACGAGAACTTGTTGCACACTCGAGCGCCTCATTCTAAACGAAGTTTTTCAGCTTTCCTTCGTGCGAAGTTCTTCTACAATGGGGGATTATTCGTGTGGCCAATCGATGACGTTCGTTTATCAATATAACAATGGCAACGAGCAGCGGTAGCACTGTTCCAGAATCCGTCGAATCACCACGATATCGTAGAAATTTATACAAGTTCTGTGCAGATGTATACACGTACACAGATCGAAACCAACCAAACAAACAAACAAAGCCACACCATTTCGAGTAGGCTCACAAGTTTGATGAACGTCAACTTCAGAGGACGTCTGCTGTTGCCAATTTGATTTTGAAATTGAAAAATATATATGCGCACTAATTGTGGGTCCTTGTCCAATGTCAGTTCTTATCCATTATACCCAAAACACAACTTTATTTACAATGATGTTGATTTTCCGCACCGGAACCCCGTGTGCATTATCAAGGTTACTTCGATCATCCAAGTGGCAAGCAAGTAGGCACATAAACTTGAATAATCGTGGTGTAGGGCGAATGCTTGCTTCAGATTGGCTGCAATATCCGAGTCAGCTCGTGACGCCTGATCATAACGTGTTAAAGATTTACAGTAGCTTATAACTGAATTTACAGTGAAACCTAAGTGTAATTTCCTCACATTGTTGTAATCCACCCCGTCGTAACCGAAACTACGCTTCGTTTTTTATCTCGCGTACGCAGTCCGTGAATACATTGTACAAACGTGCGTATCTTTCGCCTGTGTCGGAAGAGTTTTTAATGGACGCAAACGAATTCCATTGTTTACATTTCTCTGATCAGAATCAAACCTAGCTCGATATAGGAGACAACCAATGGCAACAGTTGACCCAGGTCACGCGGATCGACGCAGCCGGCGAAAAGCTGTTTGCGGCGAATCTTACGATCCTGCCACCGACACGGAAGCGATACCCAAAATAACACCGAAAAGTCCCGAATTGCGCGATAAGCTGCTTGATATCGCAAGCAATGTCGTCGTATTCATGGGTTTGGATGATCGCCAGATGAGTGAGGTCATCGATCATTTATCGGAGCGAACAGTGAAGGCTGGTGAAGTCATAATGAGGCAGGGCGATCCTGGGGACTACTTCTATATTGTTGACACCGGGAAGTTTGATGCAACGATTAATGGGAAAAAGGTGTCAACCTATGACAACAAGGGCTCGTTTGGTGAGCTGGCCCTTTACTACGATCAACCTAGGGCAGCAACTATTACGGCTGTGACTGACGGTAAGATAAAAACACATAATCATCACAAATAGAACCGCGTATTTCCATTTCAGTGTTAGAAAGGTTTAAAACAATGAACTGATGAGAAGTTTTCGGCCGGTCCCCCGCAAACATTAAAAATACGACCGGAGCCAGTTCTTCACTAGTAGACTGCTATAGTGCAAATTCATAATGGTCCTATATGATTAACGACTGTGACATATAGATTGAAGAATAGAATTGACGTTCAATACAGGATTGTTTTCTTCTTCTAGTAGCTAACGTCAGCTAATACACTGAGGGTAAGACTGAAACTGCAGCCTGAAAATGAGGCGACAGTGACCAGATGGTGAGGAGACGAAAACTCGGGCCATAGGTTGCTAATCGATATGGTGATTGCGTATACTTGTCTAGGAAAAATGTGGAAGATTGACCGGACGATGTTTCGCCGAGTAGTTCTCCGTAAGGCCTACGAACTGCGACGAGGCTATAATGAACTGATAGCTTCGGTGCCTATTTTCGAGTCACTGACCCCCAGGGAACGACTAACTTTATGCGACGCACTCATTCCAAGACTCTACAAAGATGGTGACGTTATCATCAAACAGGGCGATGAAGCTGATGGGATGTACTTTGTGGAACAAGGTAACGTAGATATATATGTGAAGTCGAAAGATGGAACAGAACAGTTGGTTAACACTCTTGCGAGGGGCAACTATTTTGGAGAACTTTCTTTACTGACCGAAAAACCTCGCGCAGCCACAGTCATTGCTAGGGGCGATGTTCGAACAGCCTTTCTGTTTGTAGCAACCTTTGAGCGGCTGCTAGGCAAGTGTACTGATGTTATGCGGCGCAACATCAGTAACTATGAAGCACAGTTAATAAAATTGTTCGGGTCAATGGACGCAGTCAACAAGCTCCGTTAGTTGACCTACAAGGACCTTTATCTCGCAGGCCCGCGAAGGATCAAATGGCAACAGAATATGTCAAAATGCTTTTTCCAGTAAAAAGCTATCGTAATAAATATACGCTTCTGCTGATTCGTGTTTATATTAGTTGTTTTGTTTGTTCGATTGTCTTTGTGATTGGCTAGAATGATCATACATCCTGGGCTTAATAGAAGGCTTGCCGCTACGAAACTATTGCATATTTCATAAGCGTCGTCTACGGTAGTTAGCGTACTTGAGACCTTCTGAAGAAGAGCAACATAGGCAGTGAAAAAGGTACCCACAATGTACGATTTTTACTAGTGCTTTGGATTTTATGTTCGTTTATTGACAGGCTGGATCGGTTTCTTCAGCTAACCTCTCCGGAGTTATAATGGATTTATTCGTTGTCACTGTCCATGACTTTTTTCCCATCTATCAACAAGAAATGGTTAGGCCTGACGTTGAACTTTAGGCTGTAGGACCCAATTTACTATTAGACGTACAGTTAGAATTTCATCTGATTACTGTGCGTTATCTGAAAGGTCTCGCAGATGAAAACATCTTCCCATTCAAGCTCTCATAGGGCGGCTTTCAGAATCTTGCGGCCTGACATGGTTGTTAAACAAGAAAATTTTACCTGGTCCATTGGGTACTTCCGTATTATTTAGCCTCGTCCACTCGACGCGGCCAACTACATCGAATAATCGTCGAATATGCGTACTCCTGTTTACCGTCTTGTTGTCGCTGTCATACGTTTTTCTGTGTCTAATAACATTCTAATTGGCCAAACGCCTTTTGGAACGGAAATTCAGCTAAATCCTGGCAGTGAACATCAATTCACTTCTTTGCTTTGTCGACGTGAAAACGCCGCTCCTTATCACAAGTGACAGAAATTCTGTATAAAAAAAAACTGTCACTGTAGCTGGGGTTGCCTGGGGCAAGGTGGGGCGAGACTTTGAAGGTCAATGAAAAGTCTTTTTTCCTGCTACGCCTCACCCAGTCCTTGACATATTGAGGCTTCTAATTTTGTATGAAATTTTAGATAAACAAGATGCTTGATAACAGTTTGGTATTCACAGCTCATCTTCTCTTTAAGGAGCTGTTTTTGTTCGGTATTCTTATTGGTTCGGATGGTAATGGCTACACTATTCAGGTCTAAGATTTTTTTTTAATTTAAGGACAGGTTTTTCTAGCAGTCCGCTTCATTACTGGCTGTATATGGCACAAGTACCCCAAAGTGCGTCAGGGTTTAACCTCGGTTAAACGCGAATGAGTATATGCCGAGAGAGTGCACGCTTATGCACTTGGAATTTTTATCGACAGAGCCATTATTTCGAGATATCTACCATTTCGAAATATCTATCGAACTATAAATAGAGTGATCTACTAACTGCACCACAGAATTACAACGGGCGTACAGAGAAACGAGTACTTCAAATAAAATAAAATATATAGAAACAAGCAAACACTCGAGAAATAAACGAACAGGTAATGTTGAAAATGAAACGACTTTATTTATGCCCAGAGCTTCTGAACCCATCATGTAGAAAGTAAACTATAATCTATGAAGCACACGGTAACAACTAAATCGTAGATTTTTTGACTCATAGTCGAGAGATCATATGGGTCGTACCAATAAAACTACATCAAAATAATGCCGTGTACAATTAGGAAGTTACATTCATAGCAAACGTATTGTTGTTCGGCGTGCCCTCCTGCGGTTGAGAATGCTTTTCTACGACATCCGAATTTAAAAAAACAAAAAAACTGGCAACTATAATTACTTAATCCTCGTTGCTGGTTTCGTAGTAAACAGGCACAGTCATTAAAATTTTACAGTTATTGTAAGCTTATATTAAGCTTAAATGTATAATACACAACCTTATGACAAATTATTTTCTATCCATTGATAATATGTTAGATTTTCCTTTTTGCAAGGATACGCATATGATGGTGTGATATAACCAAAGACATATACCAAAAGAACATAATTTGGATAACATTATTTTTAGACGAAGTGGGCTTTCTAACATAGCATACAGTATTCGATAGCCTTATGCTTCTTCACGCATATAACGGCCACTAGTGCTTATTAATAATACTAATAATTCGCAGTACTGGCCAATACGAAGCTTCAAAGCCAAACATTAACTAGCGTATCTAATCGGTACTTAATGGAAGAGTGCTTTGAACACAGTCACCGCAATATTATCTTCTCCTCCAATGGGGTATTCACTTTTATGTCCGGAGGCTACAACCGCACTTCCACGCTCAGAGTATCAAGTAGACTACGTCAAATCAACACTTAGCCCTGTACTTACGCTTCGCTTTCAACTAGAAAACAATAAACCCCTAAGGAGGTCCAACATTGTTGTTATATATATATATTGAGTAGTATGTTGAGCTTTTTTGGGTACAGCTCTGACCAAAATTAGACCTCAGTTTGCGACATAGAAGCGCGAAGCTTTATCACACCTATAGTTTTAAGCTGTATTCTAGCCTGATGGTAATTGTTTCTTAATTACTCATTAATATTAAGCTCATAGGTTTAAATCTTGACTGGCTATAAAAAATGAATGCGTTTTTTTTTTTAGTCTATAACACGTAATAAGTAATATCAAAAGCAGACGTCGAGAAATTCAGATAGATTTCGTGCAGCCAAAAGCTGCTGATAAGAAAAGAAGCTATTTGTGATAAAAGATAGAGAAAAGCCGTAATTGATGTAATACTGGAGCACAATAGCAATGGGCATAAGGATTTTGAAATGACTCTGCTACGAGTTGAAAATTTACTGATACGTAATCACATACGAAAATCTGCTAATCTTGTTTGTTATTATGACACCTATGCACACTATGCGTTTATGCATGCCCATTTCCCACTTCCTATATTTTTGAACAATGAAAGAAACCGAACGTACCTATGCAAAGCGTTTCTCTGGTCATTAAAAGGCTCAAGCTTTTCGATTACCTATGTAGGGAGCACCTTGTCCCAACTTCAAGGAGCGCTAATCATTAACGCCTCTAAATGCCACTAGCCAACTTGAAGTATATCTTGCGGCTACATCAGTTATATTCAAAAACGGACTTGTTACAATTTATCTTTAAGCGTTAAAATCAAATCGGGCGTTTTCCAGAATAAGTTGAACGATATTGACTTCTGCAACGAAATTCAAATTTTTGCGCGCTTAGTCCACTTGTAGAATGCGAAGCTTTTCTTGCTGCAATATTGCAGCAAGGTTAGCACGTCAGTGATGAGGGACGAACTAGCAGATAGCAGAAGAGTCTTTGTGCACTACTTAAACAATATGATTTGGTTTTGTTACTTGATTTTGCATAAATACAGAGCAATCATCGTGAGGTACGTGCTTCTAGGCACGGCGAGAACAAAGGATAAATTTAACCATAATGATCAAGTTCTAGAGGTTTGTATATGAGAAAACGTAATACCTTACTAATGAGATTATTAAGCCTACATCTCGTGGACTTAATTTGTAGCTACACAATCGATCCCATATAGGATGTCTTAAACGGTAAGTTATTCTTTCAAGGGTTACCCAGTTACTGGAACATTTTTCCCAATAAAGCCGCTAGGCGCCCATGTATTAGTACTCTGCTTAAAATTTTGTTTGAAAAATGACGTGGCGAATACTTTTAACGAAACGTGCGATGCTGTATGATAAGTACTGCTTCAAAGACGCGCACGTGTAGCGAGGAAGCCGCTTCCTTGCTAATTGCTCGTCCCTGAAGTAGCTGATATCTTCGAAAATATGTATCGTCTTTGTTGAGTGGTATCAGGCACACGTGATAGTTAACACTCGCGGTTTTTTGACCTTTGTTGTGAGTTATCACCGGATTTGCTAAGGTATTCAATCATGTCTAAAAAGCGGGTCGTTGTTGCTTTTACACATTGAATGGATATTGTTTGCTCAGAATTCAACTGGCCCCATTGGCTTTTACACGACATCAAATGACCAAGCTGCCTTAAATGTACGCAGATATTCTGAACTACATTAAAAAACACATTTATTTTAGAGTTGATAAATTAAAATAAAAATATTTATGATTCTTCCACTTTCGATCCATCACTTTGAAACAACTAGATGAAATTGGAAAATAAAAACAGGCTTTCCTCATTTTAGCTAGCAAAGCATCCGTTTCCACGCAATTACGTCATTTCCAATTAGTCGCGTCGATATCTTCGAAAAAAAGCTTCCTTAACGTCCACTTCTAGTCGTTTATTGGCATGGCAAATCGCTATTAATTAGATATAAATTTCTGCATGTTGGCTTCAACCCGGAGAATTTACCATGGTGAAAAAGTTGACGATCATCTCCTTTTGTTGGCTGTCTAGGTCTCTTGTACTTTCGATTATAATAGTTACGCATCAGACTGGACTCCGTCGAGGCAGTAGAGGTTCCCGTCGAGAGCGATCATCGGTTAGTAACGAAGCTGCTTATTGTTCTGAAAGCCTTAAACGTCAGGCTTGAAAAGAGTTAATTCCGCTCAAATATAACAGATTTTATTTAAAATATGTCCGCATAATGCGTTAGCTGACGTAGTCTGCTAATAAACTGGCCATTCGAAAAATAAGAGTCAGAATATATAGTAAGTGCTGTCATTTATCCAAAATTTGTCTACCACGTTTTAATGTCGGCTGAGAATTCTAATGCATGGAATGGTTCCTATTCTTTGTATCGATCTTGCAAACTATATATATATATTAAAGTTGTGTGTAAAATATAAGAAACGTGACTGCATTGCTCTAGCATTACCATTATAATATATTCCATCAGTCAGAACATGAATCAGTAGAAGATGGTTCATGGTCTGGCCTTTATCATGGTTAAACATGATACTAAAATGCAACTTCTTCCGTCGTATTGAAACAAACACGTTTCGGTTTTCAACAACATAAATTGGGCCTTTTTGAGCCTCATCAAAAGGGTACAAAGACGACCGTGACATACGGAAATTAAAGTCAGCAAAGCGCACAAGGAGGCAAGCGTAGTAATTATGTTGGGTGGCTCCATCCTACCTTTATAGTCTTACGAGAAATACGTAGCTGAACACTCCATTCTGCTACAAGACAGCGTAATTCAACTTAGAT